GGGCGTGCTTTATTTATCTTACCTACGTGCGTAGAGTCGCTAATGCCAAGCGGATTTCAGGTCTACCCACGCAACATTTTCTACCGTTTTGTGTTTACGTAGCGCTAGAACGTGTTCTCGGACAACTGCATCCGAAACACTTTCAAAGGTACGTGGTAACATTGGTAACTTATTAACACAACGACAGCGTTATATGAAAGCAATTTTAAGGCTAAGACGCATTTTCGGGGTTCCAATTTCTAATGTTTATACCTAGTATGGGTTGAGTAATAACGTGCAACGCACAGAAGGGGCTCACAACGCGCCCATTGTGAGCTCTTGTGTCCGTAGCTATTGGCCTATTTACTAGTGCACGGTTGCCGGCGACAACTGAATTGCTTATGCATGCGTATCTACGTGACTCGGGCTGCAGCCTCACTGAATATCAAATAAGAGTATAATCGCTGTCTATCTATCACCCAGAATTTCCGTTCGATATTTTAGTCTCTTCGACCCCACTGATGGCATCTTAAAGATTAGAATTGATAAGCAACTAATGCACTTTGTTACACAGACAAATGATATTCCAGATCTTTTGCTTATGAATCACGATGCATTCAAAGCCTTAGTTTTATCGGTCGACGCTGCCGAAGTAATCTATTGTTTTCCCCACCCCAACGTGTGGCGTGCATTGTCCTGCAACGAAGAAACGTCATGCCTGTATTCGATAGTCGTAAAATATTTATACCTAACAACGAACAATCCCTGAATGAGCATCGTTTACTGACTGGATACATTTTTGAATTTTTTATCAAGCTGTCAACTGTCAACCCTTGTCCTCACCGAACGAGGTTAAAATTTAAAATGTCACATCTGAATTCACAGTCGCTTTTTCACATTACAAAAAAATATGGCCAGATGAAAATGGAGAAAAAACAGGCAATTGGTTAAATTAAGATGAAAGTGACTGGCTAGAAAGAAGTTTTTCTACGCGAGTCGCAACGCAACTAGCATTAACGATGATCCCGGATCATTTGTTACATATGGTGCGTAACGCTGTTGCAAAATGGTTTTGAGTCTTATTGTTGGGGAGCTAAGACTGATAGTCGGGTTTGAGCGTCGACGGGGTGTAGGTAGAAACTAGCTGAAGCCGGCCGGCCGGCATTTTGCCGTCACGCACCCGCGAGGCGCGCGCCGGCCGCCTACAGCCAATGACACGCCGATGCAGTCAATGCCACTTGTTTGATAACTGCATCGACTTTCGCCGCAAACTATGCGTGTGTCAAAACTGCTTATCGAATCGTGCGAATATTGGAGCAATCCAAGAAATTTGCTACGCAGGAGAGTATGGCATTTTAATAGAGTATCGTGTCAATCATAGTGGCTAATTGGTTTAAAATTGCTTTATTGTATTAATAAAAGCACTTTATAAAAGTGCAGTTTCGACAGAAACGTTACAGGCATGGATAATCCGTTCTGCGCAGGCAGCGGCAACATCGATGCGCAGTAGAGCGGGCCGGCTTTCGCAACCGGGTGCCGGCGCCCGGCCCTTGTGTGCGCTCGTTATTATTTCTAACTCTTTGCCTTGAACTTACTAAACTTGAAACAATATTTTATATTAACCTAATCACATTAACAAGTAACTCTCTTTTTAGATTGTGTATCTATCTATAAAGTTAGTCCGTAGAATTTTTGGTAGAGCGTTTAAAATCAATTACCTTTTCTGTTTCATTTAATGTTCTTAATCAAGCGTCCGATATCTATTTTTCTTAATGATAATTTAACGACTTCTTACAAAACATAGAATGATTGTTGCATTATTACAATCTGAGAGAGAGATGGACTTCAATAAATTAAAATATAGATTTTCAACCAACTTGATTGAATCACAGACTATCAATTGGAAAGATCCAATTTTTTTACGCCTTTCTACTTCTAAGGTGTCTTAGTGAAAGTGTATTCACAGTCCACAAAAAAAAGAAACCAAATGTTACAATGCGCTTATTACTCTCTACACTTTTGGTCTTTTTAAAATCTTTTGTACACTTAGGACTTTAAGATACGAAACCTAAGCAATTTCACTAAAGAGCATATACCTCTTCGACTGAGCACATTTTGATCTTGAATGAAATGTAGGGCAGATGAAATAATGTCAGTATCATTGTCACCAACTACTTAATAACGGGTTATACGCAAACTCGTCATAACAACAAGTCTGTGCCTTAATGAACTAATACCATTCTAACGTGCAGTGTTACCATGCCGAAGTCACTCGGTGGCTTTCACGACGTAGCTGCGTAGTTTCGCCATTGGATAAAGCCATTGTGCAATAGTTGACACTTTTTACATAACGCCAGCTCAGCAGGCGATAGTGACGACTGATAGAGGAACCGATGTCAGACAAATTGCTCTCGTTATCACTTTTTATATCGCCGCTGATGTTTTTGCCCGAAACAGGCTTCTGCCAAAAGAAACCAACAAGAGAATCCATCAAGTCAATAATAAAAATATAATAACTATCCACATTTTTCAAGACGTAATAATTTTAAGCTAATTGTCCGATTACGTTATTATATCTAGTTTTGACAATTAATTACAACAAAAACTGGTTCAAACATAAAACAATTAATACTAACAAATAAACAAATATAAAGAATTTTAATATTTGTTACCGGTTGTTTGCTTTACATGAACGCCAGAAATCTAATATACTGTTCCAGATAAATTTTGTAACAAACCAAACACAATTTTAGCTGGAAATTGTAAAAATACAGCAAGCTATGTGGTGAGTGGTCTATTAAATTAAAACTATATTGTCTGATGTAGCTGCCTCTAAGTCGTTTGTTGCTTGTTTTCTTGAGTTAATTTCGAGGTAGGTAGTCAATAAAACAACTTTCATTGTTCCGGTACGGGGTCTTGGTGTAGAAGCACACTCACACGAAATCGCTTAAAAGTGAAAGTATAATGTGATCAGCGCTCGCCGGCGCGGGCGCACCCGGCTTAGCCATTTAGCATTACACGCAATAAATACTTGCAACAATATATCGCTGGTAGAACCAGAAGTTCGTGCGTGCACGCCTCCTCAATTTATACCAGCACCATTAATTTTGATGATGCTTCAAAACGATTTAATACTCGCACTAACGAGGCGGTTTAATGCATATTGATGAAAATCGTTATTAACAGTCAAATATACAAATCTCTGTCCATCATATTAGTCATTGCCATGTATGGAAATGTAACGAGCGAGATGAAATTCAATGAGCGTGAGGTTTTAAAGTGAAAGGAATATTTAAAGTGTAATTTCGTAACACAATTTTGAAAACGAGTTCCAAGGATTACTTTGAGTTATGCATTTGGCACTTGGTCATTTCAAAATGATTGTTCTGATTTGTTCAAATGACTGGAATTACCCAAACTAGCATTATGTACTTTAAACAAATACGCACATAAGTTAACAAAACCAGCTCTGCGCATTCAGGTTAACGTTTTCTGGAATAGGTCATCGCAACCATTTACTTAACGAGGCTAAATGCGTTTGTCGTCAATTTACGTTAATTTTATCGCTATTTAATAAAGTATTACGATTGTTTAATCGCTTATCTAATACAAAGACATAATAAATGCGTGACTTACAATAATATATACGTACAAAAACCGGTCGTGTATTTCCATGCACGGAGAAGACGATATCGTCATGATAATTTTATTTTTGTAGGTGTTACTTCCCGTACCTCAGAGTTAACATTGTGTGCAGCCAAGTAACCCAGTGGCATTACATGACAAGTAATGACGTCAACCGAGCCGAAAGTGACAGTGATTTTACTGAGAGCCGTCTACTACCATATACCACACTACTTTAAACATTGAGCGTTAATATTAATGAGTGAACAACTCGTAAATTTTCTGTTAAACAAGGCTTTTAAAGTATGGCCTTCAGCTTAATATAAAGGTTTCTGAGCTAAAATATTTACCGACTTTACAATTGAGTTTGCACGTGTAAGTTTTATTGTTGTACCCGCCTTTATAGTGAAGTATGACGCAGTCCAGCCTGTACACTTAGATAGAAAAGTTGACCTTTACGTTATAGGCGTTATGCGGAAATGCAATGTCATTTTACACGTGCAAACGCAATAAGCATTCGCCGAGCAACACATTAAGTGCACAGTTGGAGATATGGACCAGTTCACCTCTACATAACCGCACATACAGCGAGATATTTCCTGATCTGAATCATGTGGGCCTGCGTTTGATTGAGTTTCCACGGTCATATGAGAATTTATTACGCTAAGCATGTCGTATTAGTTCGTACATTAGGAGTTGCAAATAAGTTTACCGACAGGTGTTATCCTGAATTGAAGGTTGGAAAACGCAGTTTCATAACGAGTGGTAATTGCAGTTTTTGCTAATCTTAGCCGCAAGTAATCAAAACTTCGACAAATCCTCACATGAACGTTCCAGTTTTAATTAATCTGTATTTGTATGAAATTTCCTGACATATTCCACGGCTGAATAAGTGCACAATGTCGTCATAAATGCGGAGCTCATAACATAGAAACTCATCTCAGCCCAGTTGCAAGCCGGCGGTGACGTCACGCCACCCGGCGGGCCGCGAAGGTCGCCATATTGATCTCGTGTTCACACCCACTTACTGGTGCATGCATGCAATGTTATATCTCTTACGTACCGTGCTGTAACTATGCAACATTTTGTATGGTCTAATTAATTTGACACGAACCAGTTTGACTATTAATCAGTCACAAATTACACTTTCGTGAACGCTGCGCAGCTAGCGGCCATGTTGTTCATGACCTCATATTACAATGGATTCTTCCCAGAAATTATTCAAAGCATGATTTTCTGATAAACTGTGATATTATCATACTGAGCTATTATATGCTATATTTGAGGTGGTAAAACCCAATGAGGTTTCGGCAACTCTACATTAATTATAAATTTTCGTAGTCCTATAAAAATTCTTGATTTATCAATGTCTGAAATTCCTTTTCTTTTGTCCTCAGGCGCCAATAGAGCTGAAAAAGAGGCTAGATGAGATCAGGCTGCTGGAGTCGCGCAAGTCGGCGCGTTTGGCCGACGTGGACACCGACTTCGCCCGGTTGGCCGACATGGCCGGCGACCGCCGCCGCGTCTCCGCCACCATCGAGGTGCCGACACATCCCATGCAAGGGTAAGTAACAAGGGTGAAAAGACCAGTATCTGCTGCTTTAGCTACGTTCAGGGACGCGACCAGACTACTCTTCTAGATTAGGAATGGACTGAAATGTGCTGAAGTATTCTCCTAAGTAGCTCTACTGTAATGTTAGTGCCCATATTTTGCAATACCAGTAATGTTAGCCTAATCCAATAAATTTTTGGGATGTCATTGTTAAAAAATTGGTATAAATATCAAAAATCATAGCGGTATAATAACGTAAAATTGATTGCATTGCATCGCTAAAATCGCATTCAGTTCGCCGGAACATCAGCAGTCGCTTACGAAATAAGCAAAGCAATACCGTCTTAAGAATGAGGGGCAACACAGTCACGACTCTATCTACAGAGCCGTAAATCTGCATATTACGGGTCTGTATTAACAAATATCGATGCTGTTTCGCCTTGAAGCAAGCTCGCCTCGCGCCGAAGGCAAGGAAGGCCACCACTTTTCTAATACCCGCAGTTTAGCTGCTCTACACGGCTCACTATAACCGATTAGCGCTCAACTTGACTTAAATGTAGATGAAAATGACAAGAAAGTGATCAATTACGGTAGAAAATGACTTCACTAAGGCCGTAAGTATAAAATAAGATTACATGAAACCTTTCCAAAGAATGTACACCGCCGAAAGTCAAATAGTCACGATGGGCTGAAAAATCTCATTACAATTTCGACCGAGACGGAAACCTCACTTTTTTGTTTTGCATGACACTTTCGAATGAAGTTAGTTTGGGTTATTGTTGTGTGCGAGTGTATGTATACAGCGGTGGGTTGCCTTGCAGGTCTAGGTGTCGCTCGTGAAGCGTGCATCGGCGAAGTGAAGTGGGGCTGGCGCGGGCGCGGGCCGTTGCGAAATGCGCACCGAGCACGTTAGAAACTGGATGGAAGTGTTAGCGCGGAGTACGGGCGTGTCCTTGTCACACTTGCCTACATTCTGCGGCCGGATCCCGCCGCCCGCGGCCCCCGCGCTCCCCACTACGCACACAGGGACAGACAATGCAACATTGTGAGAACGATTAAAAAATTCCAGCAGATTACATAAACTCTATTACGACCATAAATCCAGCGAAAGATAACGCCTAATAAGTAATAAGCCGCCGTGGACGCGTGAATTTGAATTGCCTGTGCACAAACGCTTTCTTGAAAGTTTTGTTGGGGTCAGCGGGAGAACTGTATAATGCATTGGAATAGAACCGGAACAAACGGCATCAAATGGCTGCGCGACGTGACGCTCGTCGACGCGCAGTTTCACTTTTCATCATGATCGCGGTGAGAGGCGAGACCTCAGCGGTCCAAATTTCACAACACCAGCCGAAACCGACGCGAGAGGGTAATCTGCGCTCAAATCGCCACAAACGATTTATCTCTACCAACTACTCACCGTTATTCTTGTGAGAATTAACAGCTCATTGTAAAGCTCAATAGGTAATTTGAATGTCAGAATTATTGTTGAAATGGAAACAAAAGCTACTCTGGGTCTCTAAGTTACACAATGAACTGTTGAGCATGTTTGTAACATAAAGTAGATATGACATTACATGACATGATCTCGACCTATAGGAATATCCTTTTGGGAACTGACCTTCATCGTGACATGAAAAGACGGATACGGAAAATCAGAAAAGCCGGCATGAAATTATTATTATTATGAGTAATCTTAAAAGCCAGTTGTTGATATTTAAGGCAGAGTCAAGCTAAAAACCTGTTTTCTCCGAGTAGTTCAGTGAAGGCTTTGACGACATTATCTGATTTATTAGAAATACAGAGACAACCGACATTCTGTGATTGATCGGATAGTAGTAAGTCATTGATATAAATTGTTGCAATTGTATCATAGATAAGATTGAAATTCTATTCGTGATTGGAACAAATTTCGCAATCACGGGACCGGACCACGTCGAAGTGAAAGTTTGCCAACAATCGTTTTCTTTTGACTCGATGGACTTGCAACTTCTTGCAAGAGAACTAAAGAAATAAGTCTGCACTTTGTGAAACATGAAAAACTAAGAACAGCTACATCTGCGAACACTGCTGTAGCTGAGATATTATAAGCTTTTCGTTTCTAAAATGTCGTCAACAAAAAATAAATCAACCAAATTCAAAATGCCACGCTTACAACTGATACTTGGCGCGGGCACCACCTGACACAGTGACCTAGTTTCAAAATGGAATGCCACACACACTAGCTAAAGTGATATCGAACAATGTGCCGACGCCATGAAGCGAGACCAAAATAATCAATGTAATGAATTTATACTTGCTAATGACTTTGACTTTCGTTTCTATCACATGAATCTTGAAGAGCGTGTCACTGAGGACGCGCGTCAAATAATTTGCGTACCTTGATACGTATTTGGTGAGGCGCTACCTGGTCTGATAGGTGTGTCTCTTGGACGAATGTCTAGATATTGACGTGTGGCAGTACTTGTGGCTGGCAGATTGTATCCTAAGTACAGTAGGTCGCAACGTGGCCCGCATTCAGATGTTGTAAGTCGAAAAGCCTTCGCTGTCGAGCAAACGTTGATTTGCCTCGCCTTGTCGCTACGGACTCCTCAATGCCGTTTATTATAGTGCAATGTTTGATAAAGCTCTCAGTTCAATCTTTAAAGCAATGTTAAAACGAGCTTACTAAACTTTACGATCATGTTAGGAGGATGTTCAGTTTGTTTTGTTGTTAGAATCTACTAGGAAAATAAAAGGACATCGGTTAGCTTTTCCTATGAGCCTGTAAGTTGCGCCGGCGCAAATTCCGCAAGCGTTTGCGTAACATGCAAAGAGAAGGCGCGCGCAGCGGTGGTGGGGCCACACTTTCTCGTGGGTATACCTACGTTTGCTTTCGTTGGTGTTGTGGCCCGTTATCTCATTTGGCAGGTGCTGGTATGCCGCCTTCGTCTAGAGAAAGTGTTACAGCAATAATTTGTATTCAATATGTATTATGCAAACAATGCAGGTTCCATTTTTCAAGGCACTTTAAGGATTTTCTATGTACATGTACTCATTTACATGATACTACACAATCTTTGGTCATTTATAGCCAATCTAAATTTCTAGGAACGCCAAAATTAGACGGAAGGTTCTTGAAGAGATCTTCCAACGCCTAATAGGAAGTTAGACGAAAGTAAAATAAATAACAAAACTTTTGCTAATGTAATCAATTCAAGCTGATATCCACTGATCATCGAGAAACTTAAAGAAAGTAACAAAAGCCAGACGCGCACAAAGGGATGCGCATTAACATATAATTGTTACGATCCCGGTAATTTTCGATACTGGGTACGATTACTCATATTTGACTTTCCTTCAATCGACCCGCAGGTTATTCCAACGGACAAGGTACAAAAACCACGCAAGTTTCTTGGAAGCAGTTAGGATAAAGAGACCGTGCTCGGCGCTAATAGCCGCCTGATTGTAGCTCGCTCGGTGGAAGCGGTTTGAAACATGACAAGTACTAATGTTGCCAAGCTACGGCTGCCGAAGGTGACCTCCATTTTGACCGGACAACAGTCAAACGTAACTCGTTATTGTTTTTATACAAATGCTCAAGTTCAATGCGTTACGTGGCTTGACATAACGCGCCTGTATTTGTCAGCGTCGGATTCAATGTCATTATGAATAATTTATTTCAATCCTATAAGCTGAGCTTGAGGGCGATGATCGGAATTATCAAGGGACAATTAAGGCACTACATTGTTTCTGTTACCAAAAATGGCGGTAGGTACGCGTGAAGATCAGCTATCATAAGTGCTGAGCCGGCAGAGCAGCGAGCCAAGTTCAGCGATGACCTCACCGTGGAGCCGGGCGGGGGACTGTAGTTAGCTCGATCACACCGGACCTTGTTTTTACAGCACTAAAAAATGCGCCCCGACCTACATCAACGCTTGCAAAAAACCCGTCGCTTTCGAGCTCGCCGAATTTCATCGTACAAGTAATTTGCACTCAAACGGATACAGTCTTACGATTGATATTATAAATTATCATTAACATCTCGATATTGAAGTCTTGTCCGGTGAGAAAGATATCCGGGAAAGGAATGTGACGTGATTGGTAAAAGAAAACATTTTATTGAAGGCTGTTATTTTGTTTTTGAATATTTGTTCGAGCAAAATGGTTGCTACCGCTATTATAACAAAAGAAACCATTGTTTGAAGATACCAGGCGTTACGCACCGTGCTGCAACTAAATACAAAGTTGTAGAGTCGTATCTCTACATAAATAATAATGTAATCATTATACTGAGCCCCAATAATGATGTCATAAAAATGCATGCTAATATAAACACATTAAAATATTTAAATATCAGGATTGATAAATTAAAGATCGTGTCGTGTTTTGTTTTCGTTTTTTATCGTAGTAGATGTTATTATCGAATCGATGTAGCGGCAGCGAGAACAGGCGAGCAGCAAGGTCGTCGTCAATGCTAGAGCGTGCAGCACCGGCGCCGGAGCCGCTGTGTGCACAACTGTCGCCGGCCGGTGACCGTGGCTAAATGTATCAAAGCTTCACTCACCTACGCACTTGCAATGTGTACGCTTTCACGACGCACGCTCGGTGAATAATGTGCGCGTGATGTGTAGTCATCATGTCTTGACTTGACGTCAATAAGGCGAGCAAACTCAGAGCATTTTCGTGACGCGACGCCAACAATTTACAGCACAAAACTTCCGAGAACTTCCTGACTGTTCTCAAGAAATTATCGTCATCAGTAACCCACACGAATTATCGAACTATCTACACATTTGTAGCCTGTTGTATTATGTCACGGCTATTTCTATATCTGTTTTGAGTGAGCACTCCTGGCTGTAGCTAAGGGATAAGCAATGTCACCTCGTCTCGCCAGTAACCGATAACAACCCCTGTACTACGACACCTAGACGGCCTTTACGAAAGGTGAAGAATCGATAATTGACGGTAGCAGTTACCTACTTTTGTATTCTGAATATATTAATAATATCTACATACGAGTAAGTGCGATTCATTTAGATTTTAAATTGATTACAAATTATGTAGATAATTGAACGATTTGGTAAAGATAAATTTAATTTACATTATGCGTATTTTTAACTTTTGAGCGCATGACTACTTAACAGGACTTCTTGTCATCACATTCGAATTATTTTAACGCGTAGTGCGCGATAAATGTCCTGCGTTGGATGTGTTACAACAATCTATTTTAGACTGGATGCCCACGATTTAGTAAGGAAGGTCGCGCCGGGAGCCGGGTGAATACACCTTGCAGGGTGCGTCGGCAGGTCAACGAAATCATTCATCACGAATTTCGTCTTTACTCAATTATCAATCACAAAGGTTCTTTGTTTTCTTTAAATATATTTCTCTGCTAAATGTCACCTTTCCAAGAATAGTAAGACGAGAAAGTGTACACTAAAATTAATTGCCATTTACGAGTATACTGATAAGTTTAAGAGCTTTGATTTAATTTGTATGAGTAACATTTTTACGGCTTGAATTTAAATCGGCCAATTATTTGGTAATTGCCCTTCAGACTGAAAGTCTAGTCCCAAGTGCAGGTCACAACTTTAGCTTTGTAAAGTCAATGAGTTGTTTCTTGGGAGATTTGAAATCTGGGTGCCGTTCTCTAGCTGGGATTGGAAATGTGCGTGGAGTCGTCAACCGCCGGCGGTCGTAGCTCTACGAGTCAACGGTCTGGGCGGGCGGGCGCCCCCGGCAAGGGCGGCCAACACATCCCAGCCTCCGACCCTTAACCCCAAATCTGAACTAGGTAGTCTACGAGTTCGAACGTCACTTTTTCGGCTGCGGAAAGTTATGTGATATCGACCTTTGTACAAAGTTGGAGCGATGTGAATGTACTTCGTAGCCTGGTGCATAGGTTGAACGCCTTTTGCGAAGTATTGTTGTAGGTAGGTTAAACGTGGTGCAGAAGTTAGTTACGTACTTTATGTTTTAATAAGACTATTGTTTATGTATACCTACATGCCAGCGATAGGTTGTTTATACTCATTATTGTTATTTTATGTAAGTACACATGTATTATTTATTATTTTGTTATGTTTCATATTTAAGATTTTTTTTTAAATGTATTTAACAAAGGGCTACAAAACCGTTTCCAGTATACGGTTTTTCAATATGAACTCCTAAACCTTGAGCCTTGAGAACTTAAGGGCCAAGGCAATGTGGCCAAGGCTTCCGCCTATGAATTTTTTAAAACTTGTTATTCACGTTGCGAAGTACTTACTAGGTTTGGGTTTTTTCTATTATTTAATATAACTGAAGACAAATCGATTCTGACAATAATTATGATTATTTTATTTTTATCGCTGCATAAACAACCTACGTAAATGAATTATTTGGTTTACACTTCTTGAACCGAAATTATTACGTAGGTAAATCAATTCAAACACTTCCACTTGTCTTATTATTTGCATTTCCAACTGTTTGTTTGCGAATAGTATAGGTTGATCTGCGTCATCGCAGTCATTGGCAGCGTAACATTGTTAGCGTGTTCCCATTCAAGCTGACATTGAATCATATGCCGAACTGTGTAAAACTGCGTAAAAACTCAGTTTTTGCAACGTTTTACAGTACATGGTGCTTGCTGTGAATGGCTCCTCGTCATTTGCGATTTGACCGCACCTAGTCAAGGTTGATTTTCGTTTTCAACCTTTCCGCTGAATGAATTTGAAGGGCAAACATGAGCTCGTACATTATCACCGAACTCCAATCTTGCATAAAAAAAAGTGTAGGCTTAGCGGTACCAGGGTGTCGATGGAACATAATTGAGCTTATTGACACAGATTAAATGTTGGATCGCAAGACGAAGGCCGCCGACAAATTAGTCGGCAGAGTCTGTAGTTACAAGACCCGGGCGGACAGAGCGAGCTGGTTCATGCGGCGGGCGCCAGCGGAGGTGAACGGCTCTCCTTGTGAAGGTGATACGGGGTGATGAGACCGGCCGAGAGCGTTGACTGCAGGCGGCTGCACGTGTTTCTGGGTCGCCGCCGGTTGCGCAATACCCTCCCTCAACTCAAGCCACCGCCCCGACACTAGGCAATACCATCCACAAACTTAATAGTGCAAAGGTCGACAAACCAGTCTAGACTTGTTGATTTCATTGTAAAATAGCCGGAGACGCTCTGTATATAGGTTATTTGAATTCGAAATAAATACAGAGTATTAGCGAAGTTCTGTAAAACTTTTAATATTTGATACACTCGTACTACGGCCAGGTCTTCTGCATTTTGTTATCGATTTTTCCCGGAATGGTATACCGTTCGCTGAATTATCGATCGGTAGCTTAGACATTGTCGCACGTAAGCGACTGGAGTAATTTGCGGACACGGACTTCATGTCTGATATCGAAATCGTTTTCATATGAAGTGAATGTTTTAGTCACTAATGGAAAAAGATATTACGGTCGCGTTTACATACGTTTTTAAGTATAGGTGTTCGGAATTTGAATTAATGGAGTTTTCTTTTTCAGGTCACGCAAGAGAGGTCCTAGCAGCTCCTGCGACCTCGGCTACGGAGAGCGTGATGAACAGATGAATGAGTGCAACGCTGCGCTTGTGCTGATGTCACTGAGCTGCTCTCCAAACTCGCCGCGGCCCAGTAAGTCTTCACGCACCACGTCACCGACGACTTCTTTATGTGACGTCACTTAACACCATAGCTGGCACACTGGTCTCAGCTATCCCCTCACAACATAGGTACATTTCACACAAAATACATCACATTTTATTATATTCTAACTCTCTACATTTATTGTCCGTCATATAATGTGAAGGCGTGATATTGCGTCATAGGCTTAGATCTGCTACGTAAACGCAGCGTACGTAAAAGATACGTTTACGATGACCATTTACATAATACATACTCGTATATACTACCTTTATATAAAATACACATATAAATACTCAAAGTGTATATGAAAAAGCTCTTTTCGCGTAATCGCAACAAATGAAGTTGGGACTGTGGATTTTGTAATATAAAATAATACTTTTAGCACTTGGTCCAGGTTGTGTTTAGTGCAAAATGTATGAAACGTCTAGACAGTCTGTCTAGACAGTGTCTAGACAGGTATTTGGTGTACGTCTCTCGTGATGAGCTCCGACCGAATGAGTCCTTCTTATTTAACTTAAGTATATCTCTACCAGTTGGTACCACTATCTTTATTACAATCTTGCATTAAACGTAACAAAAGCCACTCAAGTGTCTTATTACATCTGACTTTAATAATAACCGCGTAGTTCTCAATTTCAAGATTAATAACTTAGTAAAGCTAACGATTTAAGTGCTAATGCATTGAATTCTTAAGTAAAGTAATAAGCACCAGGAAAGCGTGATAAATAGTTGGTATTACATTACAATTATATGCTCCTTATAAAGATAGCCTACTTACCTGCGCCGCGGTCACAAAGCCTTTGTTACGGTATCGTTTCTTACGTAAATGGTGAAATCCGTTTCAAAGCCACATTCATAAGTGGTGCATGCGATTGGTATATGATTTATCTAATCAATGGTTGCAGCAGGTTATTTATGGACGCAATTAAGCTCCAAGTAAAGGTTCGATTAATTAGGAGAGATATACCGTGAGTTGTGGGATCTGGAGATGCGTTATGCAACCGCATAAGCACAGTTGGCGCGTCGTAAAGTTGAGGTGATAATCAAAAGCATCTAACGGCGCTGCCCGTGCTTCGTGCGAGCCGCAAGCAACAGCTCTGCAGTGAAAGTGACCGTCGTAGTTCCGTTTCGTAATTTATTGCATTTAATTCCTATAAACCGTTACAACTCGATAGCACGCCATCTAAATTCGGTTTACCATTGATTTATGATTATACATGTTTACATTTACACTATCCGCTCAGTGGTTTCTCGTGGAAACCACATAACTGTACATGGATAAGTATATTGTTGCGCAATAGCAGTCTCTAGATGCTTCTAAACGAACTGTTCCTCCGGCCGGATGTTAAATGTCTTATACGCGTGTAACACACATTCAAACTAAACGATTTTATATAGTTTTTAACAGGTTTTGCATGCACGTGTAGAGTTAATACCATAAACAGAAACTTAACTAATTTAGGAAGATTTTTAGAGGAACCATCTGTTTTCACAGATAAATCTTTCAAGAGTCTTGTAAGGACTTAGCACCCGATCAAAAAATCAAAAAATTAGACCACGAAAGCTCTAGTAAAGCTTTCGTCTAAGTCTGATGATACATCAAATCACCCAGATTATCTAACACTTAGGCTCAGTTGCACCACCTAACTTTGACCGTAACTATTTTTGTATGGATTTTGACAGATTTTTAACGTTTGTCAAAGTTAAAGTAAGACTGGTAAGACGGTGCAACCCAGCCTTACGCCACGGAAGCTTTACTAGTTGTCTGATGATGCCCCAGTTAATCCAGATCATCAACAACTAGGTCAAGGAAACTCAACCAGTATTCTGATGATGCATTTCCCTGCAGGTGCGTGGGGCGGTCGCTCATCAGTGTCTCCTGGCGCCAGCAGCAGCTCAGGCTCGTCATGGCGTTCAGGGACACCTTCTCCACCACCGGCATCCTCCTCCTTCAGCGACGAGGGGATCGCCATGGATTATGAAGAACTGCCTCCCCGCAAGAAGAGGGTAAGTTACTTTTTAAACAATACTAACTTTTAGGTGAAGGGGAGGCCTGTTTTACACGCAGAAACATTTTTTAAAGTATAGCAAGTTTGTTACATTGTTGAAATGAAAATTGAACTTGTCGTAGCATAGCTAGAACCGCTTTGCAGGAACAAGCAAATGACTGCAAGACTGGCGCCTAATTAAAATGTAATTACACAAATTGCAAACCAATTTTCAAACTTAAATATCAGATTGATATCTCGAATCAATTATTATTAAACTACCGAGACAGTGATTTTGAAACGCTTATGATTTATTGGACACACCACATCCGTCCTCGTAGCAACCAAACCAATTAGAGTGAGATTCCGGTAATTAGGTACCTACTTCTGAATAACAAACAAAATTATCTCAGTTTGCCGAAAACATGGAAAATCAGCACTGTTGCAATTAGTTACGATCCCATTTCATAAAGTTGCGCTTCACAAAGAGGCGTAACGGTCCGTCGTGGAGTCTAAACTCTAAATTACAGAGATATGTCGTGTGGAACGTGCCCAGTCACCAGCGCAGGCTTCAATTAGACCGTGACACACTTCGTGCTCGCTTTCATAAAGTCTACGAGGTGTGGGCCTAGCTTTGTTCCGCTCAAGGATCTGGCCATTGTAAAGATCAGGCCCGCAACATTATGAACCTAACGAGAAATGGGATAATGTCATGAATCAGAATGTGACTCACAAAGCCCTTCAGAGAGATAATTTGCACTCGAGAATCCTGTATGACTACGATAAGTTCTCTTTTTTATGAAATTCTTTCCTTTATTCAGCCTAATCGTTTCATATATTATCCTTCGTTGAATAGAAACCTACTTTCACCTAACAAGACACCTGTTTGCCGTCAGTAAATTTATGCCATTATATCACGTCTCTTAGGTATCTGTAATTTCTGTTCCTGGTTTCGTAAAGCCGCACGGACTCTAGCCATATTTTGCAAATGGCGAACTCTCTAAGTATTTTCTTGAGCGCATATTGGTTACGGCTCTATTGAAGCTTTTAGTTCCAAAGTAATGTCCGTGGAATATATTGAGCTTACTTTGGTGTAACTTGCTGTGCATTGTGCATTTAACTCTATGTAGGCAGATAGACGGCCAGAATATTCCATTTGTTGTTAAAACACAATGCACGTAGTAATGACCCATAAAATATAATAACCTATCAGTGCACAAAGTCGTGGAGGAGATAAGGAGTCACTGACATACTGTAATATATTTACTTGCCTGTTTGTCAAAGTATTGAGTACACGTGTTGCAAATAGTGATTGATAACAGAACTCTGAGGCTTGTTTAAATTAATGTACTTAAAGAATTAACTGTGTCCAGGAGTCAGCACCTGCAACTTATTTTACATTACTTGATTACTCTCATATTTTTAATAAATTTTAATGTGTGGTTACTGGTAAATGTTTCGTAACCACAAAGTGTATTTTAATAAACCCAGGAACCGATTATAGATCGCTTTAGAAAACCATTAAAGGTAAGTTCTAGGTGGGCGGCCTTCGATGCTAACGATCTTGCAGTTTACATTTTTACTTGCAGAGAAACAAATAACTCTCCGACTACTGGAAAATTTTCGTAGCTATATTAAATGGTACAAAACTGTTTTACTTAATCTTTAGTGATATTCATATCAGAGAACAGTATAAATTGCACGAGCCAAAAGTGTGACCTTGCATAATTCGAAATCAATCGGTTCTCCGAGATTGTTCGGTTGCAGCGACTGTAACGTATGCGTATGCACATGCCTACATATAACTATTTATGATTTATGATCCACGTGCACAGTTCAGTGTGTCGTACAATGTCAAGGCGCAGTGCCGCGGCCGTCGGTTATGCAACCCATTGTAAAATTGTCATAAATACGTTTATGAGTGCGTGAGCGCTCGCCGCAATCAGCGTGAGCTCATGCCTCTCGAGTTACAGACACTACCCAGTGACACTTAGCAACGTTAACCTGCGTCCGATAACGATAACGCGTTGCATAAAGCAAACGCTGCAACCGGGTTTCATTTATCGTGCAGCTTCATTACGAGAGGCGTATGATTAATGACATTTTGTCATTTAGAAATCATGTTGTTTTAATTACGTACACTTATTTATTTTAGCGCTCTACATGTCTAACTGACCAGAAAAACATGTCGTAGAGACATCTTTTACAGAGATTTAGTACGTGTTCATAGCTTGTTTTAATCGCGATAAATGAGACCGGCTGAAAATTTCAGTCTTTTCTAAAGTTGACTGAATGCTGAAATAAACCTAGCTACGAAACAAGCTTTCCTAACAATATTCCGCCCCCATGGCGCGCGTTCTGCAACCTAACAATTGAATGACAATAAAATAAATTACATGACAAAATCTAAACGACTATCTGTCATAGCTCTTGTATCATAAAATGTAGGTCAAGAACAATCTCAGCGACACTGGCAATCATTGTTTTAAAAACCTTTTAGGCGTACGTTACGAACTACGCAACAAATTGAATTTTTATTCCCTCTGAGGCTTATTATAATATGACGCGCAATTATTATGTAAGATGCACTGCCGACTATGCATTAATAAGCAAAAACGACAGTACCCGATCTGATCAAGGTTACAATTTTATGCATTCCAGTCGCCGCAACGAGCTGCGACGTTGACAGATGATTGCGAGCCTACTGCGTAATTGTATAAAATATCCTTGATATTAGCTTAGAACTGGAGCTTTGGGATTTGCGTCAAGTTCTGGTTTCTGGTACTGAGTTCTCTGGTCATAAAAACAATAGGTGTTATATTGTCGTATTGGCAATATTTTCAGGCCCACGCTCTGTAACCTTGTACACTTGGCGGCCAAACGCAGCTCGTGGGCGGACCGGAGACGCGCGTGCTACTATTACATACTTCGGTTACGTAACACCTATTTACACTAGCGACGATAACATCTACGCTCATAGATCTACAGGTCGCCACTAATTGTTTATTAACGGTCGCAAACATTTCCTTTAAACAAAATTACACCTGTATTGTTCCATCGGAAGATGACGCAAGCATGTTTACTTACCTGTTTTGCTGTGAGAGCGATCAGAGCGAGCATCTACCTGTTAAGGAAATCACCGGTTTCGAGGGTCATGTTGTGGACTAATAAATTACGAAGTAATGAAGCTTAAGTGACGTAAATTGTTCGATAAAATCTTTCGCCGCGTTATCGCAGACTGATTTTTAATCTGTCCTTTCATGGCAGCAGCTTACTTATTTTGTCGTGTGTCCTACGCATCGTGGCCAGTACTATGCGCTATTATCGATGCAGCTCGACACAATGGCGTGCCCCAGACGCGGCGTCGCCGTGCTGAATTTATCGCATTTGCCAACACTAGCTAGCATTGCTGGCAGCGGTTCCGTCACAGATTCGCGACTGACAGGACGCGAGCGCAGTGCAGGCTGAATTTGTTTTCTGTGACGCGTTTAGAAATAGTTTTTAAATGCGCTAATCCGTGACACGTTTGATTAGTCGCCCTGGTTGGCTTAACTGATGTTAGTGGTGTGGTGATCCATAGGACGATTAGTGGTATCGATAGAGCGTCTTTTATAGCGTTTCGCGTTTGAGTATCCCTCGTTTCGGTATCACCAGCCGGCCGGCCGGGATTATCGTCCGGGGGGTCGGCGACCCGCACATGTGATCCGTGCGGAACCAGTTCCTGCACCACTTGCCGCGGCCACTGCCCACCGCACCGCTCTAGCCGGAAAAAAAAACTCATTATTACACAGCCTACAGCAGAACGCCCGGGTCTTTCCATTATCTGTGTTATGCCTGTGCTAATAACATGTAACTTTCATGCCGAAACAGGCTCTATCATTTCAAAAAACATGAGTACATTTACAATAGCTTACAAGAAAAACGTTATTAATAAACCGATTATTACATCATGGTATTAGAAGCTCTACATCCCTCCATCCATCAACAAGGCTTATCCAAGTGATTGGCTCAATGACTCCGCCTTATACGGTTATGATATTTAAATTAATTAATATTTAATGAATCAACGACTCGTGTAGGCTAAATAATCAACCCGCCATAAAACATTGTTATGTCATGCAGTCATTTGCTAGTCGTTAGCAGCCGGCTAGATGCAAAATCTCTTGTTACCGAGTGTAGGAGTGTGACGTCAGCCGCAGACCTTGGACAAGGACACAGCTATTAGAGCGAAGCAAGGTCTTGCCAGCTTTCTGCATGCAACGCAAACAGTTTATGTACTCTTCTAAAACCGAGCTATTCCAACGAGTTGCAGATGCTACATTCTGTGGATATTTTTAACATGAGACTTGTAATAACTTGCATTTATTTATGTTTGCTGTTACTAACCGGCTTGCTTACTTTACATTGAAATGCACATGAACTGTTAAAGAACAGAATAGTAAGTGCAATATGTGTTATTCATTGGTTCCCATGGGGCGCTTTGTTCTGTGTAACGTGCGGTGCTAATGTCGACTGCTGTCGTGATACGAGCCGCCTACCCGTTCCTTGCTTCATTATTCCTTTCCAAGAACGAATTGCGGCGAAACTATTGCAGCGGTCGTAATGAGTGCTCGCGGACTTCGTATTGAGCACACTGCGTTCAACTATGAAATTTCAAAGCACTTGCGTTTGTTACGTACGAAACCGTTGTCATTTGCGGGTAATAGAAACATCATTTCCACTGCAATCATCTTTGTATTAACACATTATTGTGTATGTGTAAATAACGCTGCGAGGTATCGACGCAATTATACTTGCATTAGAAGTGTTTTTGCTAGGCAATGCGATAAGCAGACTTGGAAACTAGGTATCAAGGACACAAACGTGAAAACCCCAGTTAGATTACGCGCTACGCAGATTGCTAAAAATGTCGGGGAGTACAGCGGGGCGTCATTCACTTGACAGTCGACATTGAACACGGCGGCACGTGCGTCAGCTGATAGCAACCCTTATCAGTACAGTATGTAATCTGGCTGAGCA